GGGGCGTTGACCCCCGGAGCTCTCTCCAGGTAAACTCCAGGTACTCACCATACAAAACATCCATACTTATTATTGCACCTATTACATACATAGAACACGTAACTCTGATATTAACCCTCCCCTCAAACATCTCCTTGCCAACCTCAACAGAACACATGACCATAACACAAGGCACAGATCACTCTTTGATGTTCCTCGTGTCCATCTCATGCTATGCAAAAACTCAATGCACATAAAAGGCCCTAAAATCTGGAATTCATTACCTGTAAATATATAAGAAACACTACCTGTTTATAAATTCAAGTCTCTTCTCAAAGATCACTTACTCACTCAAAACCAAATAAATAGTGAATAACTGAACCTTATAAATTGTATATCCTATATGTTATTCACAATTATATCACACAAATGTTAAACCTAGGACCCAATCTAACTTTATTATTTTTTTTAAATACACTACCTAACAGAATACTCCATTCGACTGAATGTACAGCAATGCAAGCAACCATATGACCTGTCTTTGTAATACTCATTTGTGCTTTATAGTTATCTGTTTACAATAATGTTTTATCACTGATTTCATCATTGCTTAGTTAATCTTCAGTTAATTTTAAGCCAGCCCGTAATGCTATGCATATAAGTGGCTTTGGCATGCTGCTCTTACCTGTATTTTTTGTACCTCTGTTTGTATGCTTAAATTACTAAATAAATAAATAAATAAATTGACATTTAACCCCAATTCTGTTAGGGTGAGATTTACGTATGCAGAATGGGTATCATCTCTGGGAGAATCAAACTCTGTTGCAATGGCTAACTCATGCCGTGGCTAAAGCAAATCTGAATTGGTATTTACAAACGATACTTGAGGATTTCTCAATACTTGTCGCGTACATAGAGAATAATGACATTCAGGTTCACTGTCTGACTGAGTATTAGAGTATTACCTTAATAAACTTATTTACTTCTAGTCTGTCAACTGAGTACAAGACACCGCCAATTCACTTATTTACACTACCCAATAAAGTGGTCAGAAATTAGCAATTTGGCCAATTTCACACAAATTTCAACAGATGCCAATTTCAAAATAGGGTACAGAATAAACAATGCAGACATTCCTGGCACTAAAATAACATTTTCTCTGTTCATTAGTCATGGCTACAGGCCCCTCTTATATTACTCTTGCTTACCATTTGGAATTTTTATTCACAAAAAAATAGAAGATTTACTGTTATGCAGACTGCTGCATTATTGTAATAATTGTATAAACAATGTCAACCCATTCTTGATGCCATATTGGAATTTGGACTGGCAGGCAGACAGGTATTGGATGGTGATGTCATTTGTTTACTCTTGAGCTTCGCTAAAGAATAGAACATTTTCGCTACTGTGAGCGCAATTTCAAGGTACTTTTTGTCATGAAAGCAATCAAAATCATATCTATTTCTGTAATATATCTTTCATTCTATCAAATGAGACCGAAAAAATGAGAATATAACCATAACAACCCCACAAAAATATACTGCTAAACGGCCGCTAATGGCTGAGAAGTGAACTCCGCTATTTATGGTCTGATTTCTTTCATTTTTGGTGTACGTTAAGAAGTATCTTTCGATCATATATTGCCCAAGTTTCAATAAGATAACCCAAGAAACAACTGAGAAAATAATATAATAATAATAATAATAATAATAATAATAATAATAATAATAATAATATCTTTATTTACTACAAGTACATGTACAAGGTATACAGGCCTAGCTGACATCAGTGACATACTACTATATAGAAAGCCGCTTGTTATGCAGAGTATTTCAAGTAAATTAGGTCAGTGTCCCAGGATAACACCCACACTAGTCGGCTAAAACCCAGATACCCATTTACTGATGGGTAAACATAGACAACAGGTGTAAAGAAACACGCCTAATGTTTCTACCCTGGCTGGGAATCGAATATTTACCAAAAATCATATATGGCTAACCCAAGCCAGATACTAGAAATAAGCCACGTTGACTTTTTTGGGTTATCCTAGGTTCTCTACACATATGCTGCTATGTGTGATAATCTATATAGAGAAAATAACTTTTTTGTTTCAGGTTTATGGTGCAGTACAAGTGTATATCACAGTTAGCCCTGTGCTACACTCCGTTTTCTCTAATATAAGCCCCCAAGACAGGGATAGGAGAATGGTGTTTGTTTACCATATCCTCTTCATACCTCCGTCGAACTGCTCGGTATTATGCCAAATACGTATTATTTATTCTGGAGTATTTAACATGTTTTATGTTATTTATATTGTTTATTATGTCATATTAGATCAATTGTGATAGGCAAATAAGTTGTAATGTTGATATTAGCGTAATAATAAAGCATATTCTCCTGCATCATGAGACTGAGCTCATGGCAACTGACAGTGGCTTCAAAGTCACCTTATCTTTAATGGATAATGTACTGTGCAGGTGCTTTACATAATGAGAAGCATTTCTTTTATTCATTGGAACCATGGCTAGGACTAAAAGTAAGCAGGTTATAACAATAAATAGAGAAAAAGAAACTGGAATTACTTATGCAGCAAGTAGCACCACCAAACAGTACCAGCAGGTTGGTGTGGTGACCCTGGAAATTTGAAATTATGCTAGCCAAAATTAGTGCCGAATAACTGAAGGAACCGAATAACTGATTGCCGGATTTGTGATGGCAGACCTGTACCTGTATACACTTGGAAAATCCTAGAGGGATTAGTACCAAACTTGCACACAAAAATCACTCCCTATGAAAGCAAAAGACTCGGCAGGAGATGCAACATTTCCCCACTGAAAAGCAGGGGCACCAAGAGTACACTGAGAAACAGCACAATAAATGTCTAGGGCCCAAAACTGTTCAACTGCCTCCCAGCATACATAAGGGGGGATTACCAATAGACTGCTGGTTATCTTCAAGAAAGCACTGAACAGGCACCTAAAGTCAGTACCTGACCAGAAGGGCTGTGGTTCATATGTCAGCGTGCCTGCTGCCAGCAATAACAGCCTGGTTGATCAGACCCTGATCCACCATGAGGCCTGGTCTCAGACCGAGCAGCGGGGGACGTTGAGCCCCAAACCCTCTCCAGGTACACTCCAGGTATATATAGAAAAAATTAAGGTTTTACCCTATTTCTTGCATGATAAAATACAGGACCCCCATATCCATGGGGATATGTTCTGAGGACCTGCTGTTGATACCAAAACTGTGAATGGTAGCAAACCCTATATATAAGTCCTATACATCCCTATTATAAAATTTAACTGATAAATTATGCACAATAAGTGGAGAATTATCACTTTTTCACTGATGGGAAGCACTTCATGGCTTCTCTTAGGCTTTGAAGAACTGCCAGCTCTGCCACAGTAAACTGTGGATGACTGAAACCTCGGATATTGAATCAGTGGATATGGGGGTTCTACTGTATAAACAAGAATGACTGGTCATGGTTTAGGCCATCCCAATAATTGAAGTAGACCTAATAAAAACCAATAAAACATACCAAGAAGCCCAGGGGAGCCCTACCTATCCTCAGGAAAACTGTCAAAAATCAAATATATCCATCCCAGTGAATCCTGTTTCTAACTACTTCCAGTCTAAAACTGACCAAAATCATGTTTATTTTACTAGTGAGTGTTCCATTCTATCAAAGCCATAAAAACTGTCCTAGAAAACACCTCAAAGTCACTGTGTGGGACTGGAGTTTTCTTTTATATTGTGTGTATTCACTGCATAGATCCATTCTCTCATGTCTAGGCCAAAATTTACCCTTCACAGCATATCTGATGGAGCTGCACTTAAAACATACATCTATGTGAGCAACATTGGCGTCAGTTATGTAGATCTACGTATGAGACAGTGAACGAGTTAAAAGTCCAACAACATTGCTGATGGTCTCCCACGATGACAGGTGGGTCCCGAATCTCTCTATCATGAGTATATTATAATCTGCTTCTGGAAGCAGATATCTGGATTCTAGAACCCTGTATAGAGAAAGATGGAGTGGAATAGGACAGAAATGAAAGGGACTGTAATTCATATACCCTAAGAAAGTATTACTTCATTTATGTATTTTCATTTATGTATTGTTTTCTGTTTTCTCTCTCATTTCCTTTATATTAAGATGGTTGCTATCTATTTTATATTCATCTTATCTCACTTCTTTCATTATCTAGCAGCTTTTTGTAGTTATCTAAATATGCTCCTCTCTTTTTTTCATCTTTTCTCCTCAGACAGGTTTAGTCTAGCTGAAATGTTGTAATCCTACAGTGTTCTTATGTCCCTAACTCCTTTTAGCAGTTCTTAAGTACATGTGACCTGAGTCATGACCTGTTTATATGACAATGCTAGTTGCTTTGTCCTCTTCCTTTCTTTTGCATATTTTCCTCATTGTCTCTGTTTATGATGATATTTATTTCTTATGCAGCCAAAAATTAAATCCCATTTCTTCTGTCAACAGTTTCTTTCAAGAACTTAGTATTACTTGCAAGTTACATTTTGATTTTCCCTCCTAATGATGGCTGTTGATGTCCATTCTTTCATCGCATCAATTTTCTGTCTAAATTCTTCATATTATTACACTTGCACAGCACTCCTTTATCTTAGGTATGTGGGAATTAGCATACCAATGCTGCATATGCATGCATGTGTATGTGTGTGTGTGGGGGGGGGGGGGAGAGTGGAAAGGAAGTGTGGGGATGGAGAGTAGAACAGGGTGTAGGGATGGGGAGTAGAACAAGGTGTGGGGATGGGAGTAGAACGGGGTTGTAGGGATGGGGAGTAGAATGGGGTAGGGGATTGGAAGTGTGGGGAAGGGGGGTGTGGGGAAGGGGGGTGTGGGGATGGGGAGTGTGGGAAGGCAGGAGGTGGGGATGGAATGGAAGGGGGGTTGCTCTCAGTTGTGTCTGTCTGTGTGTATGTCAGAGAGAAACTGGGAATGATACATAAAATTATAATACATAAAATACAAGAAGATACTATACCTGAGTATGATTTGGGAGACCTGTGGAGTCCATGCGACTAGCAACATTAACAGTATTACCCCATATATCATACTGGGGCTTTTTTGCACCAATAACTCCTGCAACAACTGGGCCAATATTCATGCCTGGAATTACAATATACAATGACATAATAAGAGTGATAACTATTCTTTTCTTTAAGAAAAAGGTTACATTGCACAAAGCATATAGCAAAAATTAAGGTGCAGCTAACAGTGTGTCATATATAGTATGTATAGTGATACATCAATGATAGTCATTTGAAATATGATATCTGTGTTTTTGGCATGACAGCTATTGAATGAATGATGGTGATTTTTTTTTCTGGGAGAGGGTAGGTGACCTTACCTTGGTAGGAGAAAACTGGCATAGAAAAAAAAAAAGATGGCATAGAAAAAAAAGATGATGGTACTTCTCACAGCACATGTACTCTTATTTTGAAAACTGTTCTGTAGTCACATCTTTCAAGGCAAGCAAGATATCAAGACTAGAAATTAGATATACAAACCTTTCATTGCTCACAATGTCAACTGATCTTTTATTGTTCACAGACAATCTGGTGATCTTTTGTTGTTCACACAGAATCTAGTGATCTTTCATTGCTGAGTATTTAGTGATCTTTCATTATTAGCTCAGAATCTAGTGATCTTCAATTACTCACATAAAATTGGCAAGCCGCTTAAACTACTGGGATCACTTCAAAGTGATCACAATGTACTCTAGATTAAAAATGAGAGAAATATTTCATAATCTATACACTACATGGCAAATACTAGAAGACCTAGTAATTAATCTGCATGCAAAATAAAAACCTGTGAACAAAGACAAAGGATGATATGTACAACAAAGCCAATGAAAATTAGGCACACAATAAGACAGAAAAAAAAAACTATGTAAACATTTGAGGTTCCATGATTATTTACAGGTTTACCAGCAAATACTATGTAAAGAAATAATGGTCAAACACAGGTAACAGGTCCTCAAGACACAACTAGGAAACTCTGTGCAAGAGTTAGCTAGTTGTGATAGCTATGTGATCCTGCAGGTCATGGACAACAATAGCCTAGCTTATCAAGCAGTTAATAAGAGAGCCTGGTCTTAGCTTGGGCAGTGCAAGTAAAAACACACACTAACTCAGTCACTGGTATATAACACAGGTTTACACTTTCAACTGACAGTCATGTAAATCTAAGTCAGTGGGATCAGTGGCGGTACCTTAAATTTAGGCATAATTCACAGCACTCTCAAATTATTTGAGAGTAGCAAATTTTGACCTAGACATAAGAGAATGGGACTGTGGTGCATGTGCAAAGTATAAACAAAATCTTGCCTCATGTAGTGAACAATGGGAACAGCAAACCCTGACCCTATGTTGGGTGTTTTCAGTGTGATTTTCATGGTTTTACTGGATGTTTCTTGAAAGGTAGACTGGAAAACATACAGGTGAAAGTGTAGAGATTTTGTCAGTTTAAGACTGGAAATGGCTTGAAATTTCAGTCACATTGGTGGAAATGGTCAATTTCTGGTGAATTTCCTGGGAAATCACAATTGTGTAAAGTACTCCCTGCCCTACAACTTCACATCTGCATAATTCAGTAAATGCTACATCAAATTTTGTATGTTTGGTGTTAACTGTAGAAAAAAATATTCTTTAACATTTTAGAAGATTAAATTACACTGCATATTTTCAAAAATGCCAATACAGAAGGGGTTTTCAATTTTGGGGGCTGCAGCACTTCTGGCACTTATGAAGTGTTATGAATATCAAATAAGAAAAGAATGATGCTAGATTTATTTTTAACCCTTTGAGGGTTTTGGTCGTACTAGTACGTCTTACGCGTAGGGGTTTTTGACGTACTAGTACTCATAAATTCTAGCGGCCTCAAATCTAGTGGGAGAAAGCTGGTAGGCCTTCATATGAAAGAATGGGTCTATGTGGTCAGTGTGCACAGTCTAAAAAAAATCCTGCAGCACACAGTGCATAATGAGAAAAAAAAAACTTTGACCATTTTTTTTTAATAAATCAGCGACTTTGCAGTGTATTTTCGTATGGTATTTATTGTTGTATTCTAGTTTTCTGGTCTCATTTTATAGAATGGAAGACATATTACAGAAATTGAGATGATTTTGACTGGTTTTACAAAGAAAGGTGCCTTGAAATTGAGCTCAAAGTAGCAGAAATGTTCGATTTTTACCAAACTTCAAAAGTAAACAAATCGTGCCAAGCGTGCAATACACGTCAACTGGTGAGTCTAATATTCTTTCACAAGTGCACCAATAATATTTATACCATTTTTTACACTAATGCAGTATCTGCAAACAGTAAATCTTATTATTTTTTGTGAAAATAAAAATTCAAAGTGGAAAGCAAAAGAATATAAGAGGGGCCTTGAGACGTGACTAATGACTAGAGGAAATGTCATTTTAGTGCCAGGAATGTCTTTCTTGTTTATTCTGGACCCTATTTGGAAATTGGCATCTTTTGAAATTTGAGTGAAATTGGCAAAATTGCTAAATTCTGACCACTGTATTGGATAGTTGAATTTCATAAATGGGTGATTTCTTGCACCAATTCGATAGAAAAAATGGAGTTCTAGCGAAATATTCATGTTTTTTGTCGACTAGTACAGTGAAATTGGCAGAAAATGGGGCTCAAAGTGGGCAAAAACGCCGATGCGTAAACATCGCCGACACCGCTAACTTTGCGAGAGCATAATTCCGTAAGTTTTTTTATCAAATTTCAAACTTTTGGTGTCTTTATGATCGGGAAAAGATTCTCTATCTTTTCATAAGAGAAAATAATTTTTTTTTTTTTTAAATTTGGCCGACCCTGAGAACGAGTTTTGGAGAGGGCCTGTCGACCCTCAAAGGGTTAATAGATTGGGTCTTGAGTAAGGGAAGCAGTCGACTCACAGCACTATGACAGGAGCCAGTATTTACAAGTCACTGATATAATGTCACTATCATTAACATAGTAAAATTGGAAGGCATGTCTCACAAATCTGGCTTTGTACTTGTGAACCTGGTGATTTTATTGTTCAAGAAACTGGTGGAGTTTGTGCAATGATGATAAATACTGATGAAGGAATGCAACAGTGTGCATACAGTAAAGTAAGAGTTTCATTAAGAAAGTGATTAAGAACAAAAGATCAGTAAAATATGTATAGTACTGGCCATAGATGAACTTTTTCTACCCGAGAAAATATGCTTAATGTTACACTCACTAACTATATAATAAAGCAGAATTTTAATAGAAATGATGTACATAAACTAGGACTACTATAATGGCTTACAAACCCAACTGCCATGGAAATAAGACACTAATACAATATATTTTGTATTTTATTCTCTTCCCTGATAACATATTGTTTCATTAAATTGTGTTAATGGAGTACAGTAAAACCTTGATGTACCAGACTCGCATGTAATAGATTTAAGATATAATAAAATATTTGATTGGATAAATGTTTTATGCAATGAACTATGTCAGCTCAATCAAGATTTTGTATGTTTGAAGTAGTGCACTAAGTGCACTGCATTGAGATTTTGTCCATTAACAGTAGTATGCATAAGTTAGCTACAATACTGTGCACAGTCCAGTGTACAGTTCTGTACTGTACTTTCATAAGCCTCCTACAGTGAATACTGTATTGTATTGTTAATACTTCCACTGCATATTATACACCTACCATCTGACTTAAGACCGTGCTTGGTTCTGACTAACCAGTCATAAGTCAAAATGGACGTAAGTCGAACCTTACTACTGAATATCAATATCACACTATGTAATGATTTTATTTTATTGTTTTATTTAAGTATTTCATTTTTTACTTTACTTTTCATGGTGTTAGTACTGTATTTTATACTGTAAGGTTTAGGAGTAACACTGTGTACAACATAAACAGTTGTTTATTTCCTATAACAACTACATACAAAACAGTCATAAGCCCAGTGGTCGTATATCGAGTGGGTCATAAGTTGGATGGTAGGTGTATATCTTATTAGAATAATATTGATACATTACTGATTATAATTAAAACAATATTAATGTTATATTCTTCAAATTATTTAATTAACATGTCAGGACATGCACCAAGTGAATCCACATATACTGAAACTTGTTCTGGCAACAACCCTACTGTATGATGTATATACTGCATGTTGAGACACAGTACACAAATGAAGTTGAAATCCAGAGTGAAAACATTCATGTTGAGACTTGTTATATCAGTAAAACATAAAAACAGTAGGGCCCCATTTATATGGCAAGTTAGGTTCCAGGCTACCGCCGGAAAGCGAACATCACCGGAAAGCAGAACGCCATTTTTTTCCACTTATAAATGCATATAAATGCCAGAAAACAAGTTTACACTAACATATATTAAGTTAGAAATAGAACTAGGCATTAAAAAACACAAAAAATAAACACACACACAGTACAATCATTACTTCAAAATACTTGTAGTCTTAATGTAGGTTGAGAGGTGAGCAGTATTTATTGCAAGAAGTCATGTGTGGTAGGTATGGTAGCCCTCCAGGCCAATCCACCCACACGTAATATACTACGACATTTCAACTGCCCTAGAGTGATAAAATGCATGTACAGTATGATCATTACTTACCTTAAAATATTTGTAGTCTTATGGTCTTAATGTAGGGTGAGAGGTGAATAATATTTATATGCAAAAAGTCAGGTGTGAGAGGTATGGTAGCCTGCCTGGCCATCCCACTTACTAAGACATTTAAAGCACCCTAGAGCAATAAAATGCATATACAGTACACTCATTACTTACCTTAAAATATTTCTAGTTTTAATGAGAGAGAGAGAGAACAAATGAGAGAGGATAGAGACATAGGGCATGCAAACAAACAGACGAATGCATCTGGTTTATACACGTTCTTTTCCATGTTTGTGAAGCTTATATCATAATGCAAACACCTTACATTGTGTACAAGTTGTCACCACATTGGTAAAGTAGAATAAATAAAGAACAACACTACCATTCTAATGTAACACACCATTTTTAGAAGGAATGAAGCTCTAAGTAAAGGCATATGAAAGGAATAATTTTCTACAATTACCCCCAGTAATACTATTGTGTACACATTTTCTTTGGCAGTGAACTAGAGAAAACGTTATTCTTTCTAACACTCTGATAAGACGCCTGGAAAAACATCTCATATTTATGTTAATTTATTCTACTGAGGGGTGTATTTATCATGTTTATATGTTATGTAGCATGTTTACTATATAATTTAAAAAAAATATCATTAATGGATTAATCAAAATGTAAAATTAATGTAATATACGACATTTAATGCACCTCAGAGTGATTATTAGTGTGTGTTATTATTATCATCATTATTAATATGGCATCTTCAAGATTAATAAGACACTCTTAGTGATTTTAATGTGTACCTGCATGCCAGCACAGTGTGTAAGTTTATTTAGGTACAGATACACATAACCTAGGTAGTAGGTTGGTATATAGCAACTGCCCAGGGAAGTACTAATGTCCTGCCAAGTAAGTGTAAAACAAAAGCCTGTTATTGTTTTACATGATGGTAGGATTGCTGGTGTCTTTTTTCTGTCTCATAAACATGCAAGATTTTAGGCATGTCTTGTTACTTCTACTTACACTTAGGTCACACTACACATGCATGTACAAGCATATATATACATGCCCCTCTGGGTTTTCTTCTATTTTCTTACTAGTTCTTGTTTATTTCTTCTTATTTCCATGGAGAAGTGGAACAGAATTCTTCCTACGTAAGCCATGCATGTCGTACGAGGTGACTAAAATGCCAGGAGCAAGGGGCTAGTAACCCCTTTTCCTGTAAATATTACTAAATGCAAAAGGAGAAACTTTCGTTTTTCTTTTGGGCCACCCTGCTTCAGTGGGATATGGCTGGTGTGTTGAAAGAAAGATATATAAAATATGAAATAACTTTAAAATACAGTACTTGAAATTTTGGAAAGTTTCCAGACATAATAGAGAGTCGTGCTCATGGAGAATGTAAGCAAACTGGGTGGCCCGCAGTTACCGTATTAGAAAGTCAGGTGGGGGGAGCCATACAGAAAGTTTTGGTCATAATTTGAAATGTCCATATTAGCAGAACACCAAAAGGCAAAATGCTGTAAAGTAGGACCCTGCTGTATTTCATTCAAAAGCAACAGTTAGGTAGTGTGTATTTGGCAGTGAAGATGTCAACATAGGTTCATGACGACAAGTAAAATCAGATATAAAGCTATAGACTGCAAGGAATTTGAGGAAATAGAAGATGACAAGGAAAAATAAACAGAAGCACAGACACTGCAGTAAAAATTCACCTCATAAACTGAAAGACTCCGAAAACACTTGAAAGAAAAATGCAATAAATTTTCTAAGAAAACCAACTGTGATGACCAGAGACATGAGGAGGAAAACGATGATGTAATAAGTATAACTAGTAAAACCAGTGTGCCAGGGGCCTCTAAAAATCTACCTTCACCATTCAAGTTCAAGACAAGTGCAAGTTATTTATCTAACTCATCTGTTGAATCCACTGCCTTATGTCCTTTAGAACAGAAAATAGACAGATTTCTACACAAAACTACTAAATAAAAAATAAATTATTAGAGGTGCAGTTTAGCAGAGTGCTTTATGCCTGTAACATTCCTCTCTAACACTGATCAACATTCCATTAATGATTTACTTAAATTTGAGTTATGCTGCACAGTATTAATGTATACGGTAACAACAAAGTACTATTTTCATTTAAAATACTACTGTATTTTTGACCAACCTATAAAAAGCTTTAATAAAAAATTAAGAGCAAAATTACTATAATTCTCTGCATCCAAATCATAATAAATAATAGCTTTTGAGTTAAGGGTCCAGGTCAAGTCCAGATTTTTGAAACTAAAAAACCCAACCCAGGCAGGTAAGTGGGTAGCTTCCCGGGGAGTTGACCTCTGGTAGAAAATATACAGCATTTTTTTTCCTGCAGTTGTGTCTACTCTTAAATCTAAATCTAACTATTATATAGTAATCACCTTAAGAGCACAAATGGAGGAGAAGAATGTATTATTCAAGGTGGACACAAAGATAGAGAATATATTCTTTAACTTTTTCCCTAAGAATTATTGCTATTCAGTCTTTCAGTTTCAATAATCAAATACGGTGGACCCTTGATCAACGGCATTAATTCCTTCCAGAGAGATAGCCATCAGTTGAATTTGCCAATGGTCGAATTAATTTTCCCCATAAGAAAGAATGGAAATCCAATTAGTCCATTCCAGACAGCCAAAAGTATTAAAAAATATAATTTTTTCTACATGAAATATACATTTCCTTACACAGAAAACAATTAGACAGTCACAATACATGCATAAATAAATACTAAAATGACACTTACCTTTATTGAAGAGTATTGTTGAGTGATGAGACACTTTTTCTTGAGCACTCTGGGATTTTCACAATGATACATGAGTAAAGGCTTCACCTTGCAATCCCCACTAGCATTACAACAAAACAAGAAAGTTAGCCTGTCTTTCATAGGCTTGTGTCCTGGGAGGGCCTTTTCCTTCTGAGTAATGTAGGTCCTGTTTGGCATTTTCTTCCAGAACAGGCCTGTTTCGTCACAATTGAACACTTGTTGGGGTTGGAATTTTCAGCTTTGCCATGCCTTATCACACTGTATGCTACTATGATTCTTAAATCTCTCAAACCAACCTTTGCTGGCCTTAAATTCACCAATATGAGCACTAGTTCCAGGCCTTTTTTCCTGTTCACCTGGGTGTTAGTCGACTGGTGTGGGTTGCATCCTGGGGGACAAGATTAAGGACCCCAAAGGAAGTAAGTTAGACAGTCCTCGATGATGCACTGACTTTCTTGGGTTATCCTGGGTGGCTAACCCTCTGGGGCTAATTGTTTCTCGGTATTCTCAATAAGCCACACCAACAATAGTCTCTCCATATCTTTGAGTAGTACAGCTGACTGTGGCACAGCAGCAGCTGATGGTGTTGCAGCAGCAGCTGATGGTGTTGCAGCAGCAGCTGATGATGGTGCAGCAACAGCTTATGGTGGTACAGCAGCAGCAGCAGCAGCTGATGGTGTTGCAGCAACAGCTGACGGTAGTGCAGCAGCAGCTGACGGTGTTGCAGCAGCAGATGGTGGTGCAGTAATGGCTTACGATAATACAGCAGCAGCAGCAGCTGATGGTGTTGCAGCAACAGCTGACGGTAGTGCAGCAGCAGCTGACAGTGTTGCAGCAGCAGCTGACAGTGGTGCAGCAGCGGCAGCAGTTGATGGTGTTGCAGCAACAGCTGACGGTAGTGCAGCAGCAGCTGACGGTGTTGCAGCTGCAGCTGACCATGGTACAATAGTATTTTGAGAGTATTTCTCACCCTTTTTAGCACTAGAAGCTTTCTTGGGGCCCATGGTGGCTTATTTAGCAGTTACAAGCATTAAAAACACTGGAATAATACAAAATATATCGCAGATACACTTGGAATCGACAGCAACGGCTTGTAAACATTGGCACACTGGCTATACACAGTCTTGGAGTGGCTGGGCCCACTCAGGCTGCATGCCGTTAGACGAGTTTTTCGTCGTTGGTAGAGCCAATTCTTTGACGCCAAAGAGTGCCATTAGACGATTTGCCATTACTTGATGCCGCCACTGGGCGGGGGTCCACTGTAACCAGAGGGCACATTGGTATAGGAACATGAAAAATATTAGCAACAAGGTTGTCAAAACTCACCTACTCTCAGTGTAAAATTGTTGTAAGAATTTTCATTAATGTTTGCCAGCTTTTCTCTGAATGCAAAAACAAGTTCAGCGAGCACCGACATGTAGTGACTTGCCGAGTCTTCCTTGTGGTCCAATATCCTCATATCCGGCATAAGTCCAACTGCTGCCATAAAAGTCGATCCAACTGTTTTAATCTTATCCACAGCCTTAAATCGCTCATCATCCAGCAGCTACATATGCATGTAAAAAAAAAAAAAAAAAAGAGTATCGTTATTGCTGGGGGACTGTGCTGCTAAATACAGTACACTTCTCATAAAATAAGTACAAACACTACAGAATAAGTCTAGAACAAGACAACCAATACTGTTTGGATTCCATACCTTACCATCTCTAAATCTCATTAAATTTCATATTCCATGTTATCACATGCTCTGAATTCATGTCTTAAACCTTAGATCAGTCTGACTTCTATGTGCAGAGTTACAATCTAGGACATTTTGTTGTCACAGAACAATAAGCATTTATTTGGAACATCATAATTTAGATAATATTCATCTTTTTTTTTTTAACATGTCAGCTGTTTCCCAGTGAGGCAGGGTAACCCAAAAAAGAAAAAAAACACTTTCACCATCATTCATAAATAATCACTGTCTTTGCAGAGGCACTCAGATATGACAGTTTAGATATCACTCCCAACAGCCAAAATCCCAAGCCCCTCCTTTAACCCGTAAACAGTCCAAACGTATATATACATTCTTACTGCTACTACCCCAAACGTATATTTACGTTTCATTTTTCATTCCTTCAAAATTGGCGCGATAGGCCTGAGTCACCTAGACACAAGAGAATGGGTGTGCGCACTCAGTGTGCGCCATATGAAAAAAATCAGCGATGCCTGGGTACCGCATGGTAGCATCAGTTACATTCAGCTCCATCTTGGGTCAACATTATGGCACATCCTCGTGATTCACTCATGCCTCGGCATATTAGCACTCTATTATTCGAAGAAAGTGATACAGAACGTCAGTTTAGTGGATTTGACACAAATGTGGCTACTAATAATCAAGGAATTAGTGAAAATATCGACGATAACCTACATGACCCTCAGTCCATCACCTCTGGGGTGGCCAGTGTGGCCACACCAGACCCTAGGCCAAGCACTTCTGGGGTGGCCAGTGTGGCCACACCAGACCCCAGGTCAAGCACTTCTGGGGTGGCCAGTGTGGCCACACAAGACCCTGGGCCAAGCACCTCTGGAGTGGTAAGTGTTACCCATAGGCAACTACGCAAGAGGAAACTATCATTTTTCCGGTGTTTTAGTGAAATTGATGTAAGTAGCGATGAGATTGATTTTATGCCATTAGTGGATTCATCTAGCGATAGTGATCATTATTCACCAGTGAAGCGTACTTTTAGGCATCATCACCTACATTCAGGCAGTGTGCCATCTGCAGTCGGCGGCAAGGGTCGTGGCAGGTTACTATCCAAAACTCAGGCCACTGACAGTGAAAGTGATCATGAAGATGAATATGCAGGGATGGAGGAATTAGTGGTGGGTGGCATGGTGCCTGGACCACATGGCATAGTGGGTGGACAGACAAAGGACAGCCCCTCAACCATGTGCTGCCTCCACACCTGTCCCCCCTCCTGCTCCCCCACGCCCCATGCCAGAGGTCCACCCTGCACCATGTGACCGAGAGTGGAACTGGACACAAAGTATATTCGTGCCACAGCCTTTTGATTTTGATCCGAGTGGAAGTGGCATCCTGCCAGAATGCCCCATAACAAATGAGTCTACAGAGTTAGAATTTTTCCAGTTATACTTTGACGAGCCTATAATGAACCTGATAAGTGACCCAGATGAACAATTATTACCGCTATATCATGGACAATACAGCAGAGGTTGGGGAATCATCACAGCTGTGCAGATGGAAAGATACAACAGTGGCTGAAATGTATTTATTCCTTACCACTGTCATGCTTATGCCACATACCTATAAGAACAACATATGTAACTACTGGGCCACAGACTACTTTATCAGTACTCCTGTCTTCTGTGACCTTCTTCCCATCAACAGATTCACTCTGTTGCTATGAATGTTGCACTTCTCAGACAAGAATAGTCTCAACAGAAATGACCTTCTATACAAAATCCGGGAAGTGTTTACTTTTATCCCTTCAAGAACACTGTTGTTGACAAGTCCTTGATTCTGTTCAAGGGACGCCTGTCATTCAAGCATTATATACCGAGTAAATGCCATTGTTTTGGTATAAAACATTTTGTTATGTGTGACTGTGAGAGTGATCTTGTTGGATGTCATTGTATATACCAAGAAAAACACACTCGACGATACCAGCCACATGTTGGGCATTTCTGGTGATGTTGTTAGAAAAATGATGGAACCATACCCTGGCAAGGGCCATACACTGTACACGTACAATTGTACACAGACAATGCACTATGGTATCAGAGGCCACTCCCTCAACTACCTAAAATCATACCTTAGTAACAGAACTCAATATGTGCATGCAAATGATGCAAACTCTTCCACCCAACCAATCACAGTAGGAGTCCCACAAGGAAGCGTCCTTGAACCACTCCTCTTTCTCATCTACATCAATGATCTACCGAATGCATCACAGCTACTCAAACCCATATTATTTGCAGATGACACTACATATGTCTTTTCCCACCCAAACACAGTCATACTAGCAAACACAGTCAATGCCGAATTGGAGAAAATATCCGACTGGATGATGACTAATAAACTTACCCTGAATACTGATAAAATCTATTTTATTCAGTTTCAAAACAAAGCTGCAAATGATCCAATTAACATAACGCTAAATGGATCATCAGGTCACAAGACACACAGAGGGAAAATTCCTAGGTATCTACCTTGACAGCAGCCTTAAGTTCTGGGCACACATACAACAAATCACAAAGGAAATCTCCAAGACTGTAGGCATACTATCAAAAATAAGGTACTACGTTCCACAATCAGCTATCCTGGCAGGGTACCATTCATTCATATACTCTTATCTTACATATGGAATTTGTGCATGGGGATCAACAACATTCAATCACCTAAAACCCCTAATAATCCGGGATACGAGAACCAGACGAACTACTTAAAAGAAAAAAAACTACAGTGCAGTAGTAAGTGCCACTCTTCTCATCACCAGTGCCCGGTGTAGAGACAAGCACAAAGTAATGAAAAAAAATCGAAACTGTAGGCCAGAGGTGAGTGGCGCGACTTTCACCACTATTATAAAAAAAAAAAAAAAAAAAAAAAAAAGGCAGCAGTAAGAATGATAACAAATTCCCACTCCTGCCAGCATACTCCACCAATTTTCAAGTCTGAATCTGCTCACCATTAAGAACATCCATACTTATTCATGTGCCTACTACATACACAGAACAATACACACAAATATAAACCCTCCACTCAAACTTCTCCTCACCAACCTAAACAGGACACATGACCACAACACAAGACACAGATCTCTTTTTGATATACCTCGTGTCCATATCACACTGTGTAAAAACTCTATGCACATAAAGGGCCCCAAAATATGGAATTCATTACCAGAAGATATTAAAGTAATCTGGTCTGAAAATCAATTTAAGACTCTTCTCAAAAGCCACTTAATCACCCTAGACTAAATGCTAAATACCTAGTACACACTCACCTATGTACTCCCACATCATAACTTCAACAATCACTTTGAACCTTTTATCCATTGTTGACAGGAATATAATTGAATCATTGCTTTCACAAAAAGCATTTCTGATTATATGAATATATGTTTTGTCTTATACAAATCTTGATTCACTTATAATTAATAATCTACTGTGAAATAATTACTATCCTACTGTACAACTATGATATAATCCTTAGTGTTAAGTAGTCAGTAAGCCAATAATGTTAAGTTGGCCCATAATGCCTAGGCATAATAGAGGCTCTCTGCATTGCAACCCACTATTGTAAATACAAAAAATCTCAATGTACTGTTTGCAAAGACATTAAATAAATAAATAAATAAATAAATAAATAAATAAAGTATACAAGCTCTATGCTCACTGATTTCCTACATGTGAACAATACTGATATATGTGGCACAGTGAGAAGGAATAGAAAACATATGCCAGGGTTCAGTGGAGGCAGTGTTGAAAGTGCAGTGCAAGCATTTCATGCCAATGACATCATGGCACTGATGTGGCATGACAAACGGGACATGACATTGCTGTAAGCATCCACAGAAACGAGATGGTACAAACAAAGTGAACCAGGACACCAATGAAAGTATTGTCAAGTCAGCTGCTGTTGTCGACTATACGAACAATATGCGACTAGTTGACAAGTGTGACACGATGATAGGGTTCATTGACTGTGTGCCTAGGAGTCGCAAGTGGTATATAAAACTGTTTTTCCACCTTGTAGACATTGCAGTGCTCAGTGCATTCAATATGTGTGAAATAAAGACTGGAAAATGGAAACGTTTTACAGAATTCTCCCTGAATGTCGTAAAACAGATAGCAAAAAAGCATGGTACCACACTTGTACCTGCCCCTCAACAGCGACCTGTCACACCACAACCTGTCCCCCAATCACAACCACAGCCAGTGGAGGAAGTGCCAGACCAAATCATCCCTAACTGTCACTACCTGGTACCAATACCACCTACCCCAAAAAAGAAGCATACCCAGAAAAAGTGTGTTGTGTGTGCGACGACCACAAAACGGCCCCAACAGCAGAAGGACACATGATACATATGACACCAGTGTGGGGTGGCACTCCGTATGAATCCATGCTTCATGGAGTATCATACAATCGTGGAGTTCTAGAAACATAAGTGGGACATGTAAATACTTGTATGAATATAGTTGTAGATAATAGTGTGTGATTCAACCAGGTGTGCAAAATCACCTATCAGTGTGTACATGTGTGTTTGTGACAACATGATAATAATATTGTATATAATATTGGTGTATAAGCAACAACTTATGTTGAAATCAAAAGATTTAATATAAAACATAAGTATCATATCATGAAAATCAAGTAAAAAAAAAAATGGAAAAAAGCGGTAAATATGTAGAATTTCTGTAAGCGGCAGCGCTTCATGTTGCCGTCAGGTAATCGCCAAGTGCCAACTTCGCACCCTCATATCTCGGTAAGTACAGTGGTCCCTCGCTTTTCGTAGTTCTCGGCAATCGTAAATTTCGCCA